CTTGGTAGCCCAGGCTGGCCTCGAACTCACAGAGATCCACCTGGCTCTGCCTCCCAAGTGCTGGGATTAAAGGCGTGCGCCACCACCGCCCGGCGGCTATCACCATTTTTAACACACAGTTTAAATTTCTCCCAAGTGGCAGGCTTGCCATACACATTGCAACTGCAGACTATGCTTATGGACTCCTCACCCACCGGAGTGTCCGGGCAGGCAGCACACAAGACCCCAGCTGGCAAACAAAGGAGACACATGGGTCACCAAGGAGGAAACACACATGACTCTGCCAAGCGCTTTCGGATCTCAAAGTCACTACAGGCACAGGAACTCCAGGTGTGTCGTGGGTCAAGTGTCACATGCTCTGCTCAAATCACTCAGAGAAGCAACAAACAGGGGGACTTCCCCCACCCTCATGCAGCATCCTCAGTTCTCACGAAGCCTGTGTCCTGGGTCTGGAAATGTCCATTTCCAAAGCACATAACTAGCCGAAGCTAGCTCTATCCTAGCCCTCTATACATGTGCCTTACCTGGGAGCCTTGAGATGGAAGCTCCTGGAATAGTAAATTGAGAAAGGAGACAGGAAGAGTGTAAAAGACACTTCTTAGAACTCCGGATAAACTCAGTGCCACGGTAGATCCTGACAGCCCCCTTCCATAGGCACAAGCATTGAAGACTTGTTAGTAGGAGGTGCTTAGGCCTCAAGGAGGTGTGACCAATGAGAAGTAAAGGCTTATTGAGCCATACCGTGGATGAACAGAAAATATGTAGACAGCAGCCTAGTGAAGATGGCCTTACACAATGACTTCTCTGGATGAGGACTCCCAAGGCTCCCCGAGCTTCAGCTGCATCAGGGTTTGGATATGATGTGTCCTGAGAAGGGTTCACATGTGGAAAGCTTGGTCCTCATCTTGAGGATCCCATCACCGAGAAGGGATTGTATGTGGCTACCTATGACATCATCAGTGGATTGATCCATTAGTAAATTAATCCCTGATGACATTATTGGGAGGTGATGGAAAAGAGGAAGTGGGTCCCAGTTGGAGGAAGTGACCACTGCAGACACACCTTGGGAGGGTGCACCTGCCCTCCTGATCTTCTCTTCTGTTCTGCTTACTGGCCATCA